AAGAGTACTCTCTGTGGGTTCCTGTGCGGACCTTATGAGGAACAATTATGACATGACTATGTGCAATATAAACAAATGACATGAGACATAAGAATGGACTATTAAGATAAGCTATGATTATGAGAATATGAAAAATGATGACATGATGTACTAATTGAAATTCTGTAATGTCGAATGTTGAGTCAACAAAATAATGAATGTGTGACATGCATCATATGCATATATAACTCCAGGTGTGCCGCTTATGCCGCATACCAGTGATGTACTGAGATATTTTAGGTGTACCTTAGGGTTACCAGTGATGTAACAAGCTACAAGGTGTACCTTAAGGTCACCCATGATGTAACACGCTAACAAGGTGTACCTTAGGGTCACCTACAACGTAACATGCTAACAAGGTGTACCTTAGGATCACCCACGATGTAACATGCTAACAAGGTGTACCTTAAGTCACCCACGATATGATGATATAATGAGAAATGTGATTATGAGACACGTGATTGGCGCCATATGCATGCATCTATGAGTCGAGTCCATGACATCATTGCATAATGAATGACTGTGCATGTGTTATTGTTGTATGTGAAATTTGAATTTGCACTTGATTAATGTGACTGTGCTTGTATGAGTTGTGTGTGTTGCCTAACTGTTATTTCTACACTTGGAATCGAGTGAGATGTTTCTCACTCCCTTGTTGCTCGTGTATATGTTTAAATTATGTTGCAGGCGATCATCATCATGAGGATGTTGTTGATGAGGCTTAAGGCTTCAATGGGGCATGCTCTGATAGGATGTGACATCGGGGGATAGGTAGCTTAGTTTAAGATGTTATTGTTTTAATAACTTTAGTTTCTTTTCTTTTGTAATTTCTAGCGAAGGGATAACGTAGATAAAGTTTATAATTCAAGGAAAGTGTATGTTAAGAATTGTAATTTTGAACATTCTTCTCTTCGTTTTCTATGGTAACCAATTTTGGATAACATTCTGATAAGTGCTATGATTTCATTAAGTTTATGGCCTAGTTTGAAGTACTTATATCAATTTTCCTTGCTTTAGACCTTGTTTTTTAACACAATATATCTAAATTGTTAGGTGATCACATTTTGTTTTTGAATCATGTTTTTAGGTAACTTACAAGTATTTGGTTGTTATTTTGTAGTTTAGGAGAAAGCTAGGAAAGAAGGAAGGAAGTCAAGCACAAAGTGGTGAATTCGAAGTTGAAGGAAATTTTTTGTTAGTCCCCAAACTAAGCCTCAAATCCACGCTTAGCCTTAGCTTAGCAGAGAATCACTGGAACAAAAATTCAATCCTCACGCTGAGCGTGAAATTGGGGCTGAGCGTGGGAGTTCCAGAACCTCATTTCATTCCAGACCCATCCTCAAGCTTAGCGTGGCATCTCACGCTTATAGCGTGGATTGTGCTGACATGTCATTATTCACATAAGACAAAAGTTTTTATGACCTAAAAGTGGGATTTTTGAGGAGAGAAGGAAAGAGAATCATTCTTGGAGTTTGTGTGGCGGCTGGAGAGCTTTGGAACCTTCAAGATCAAGCTTCTTCCTTTCTTCATCATTTTGTAGAGTTCTACATGTTTATGTGTAGCTAATCTCACCCTTGTTGGGGTTTGATGTAACTAAACTCATTCTCATGTGTAAACTCTAAGTGATCAATGTTAATTGTTATTCAGTTTTATTGCTCTGTTTCTGTGCATAATGTTTGTTATGGCTTGATCACCCTTAACTTGAACTTGAGGTTTTTAAGAGATTGATAAATGATTTTAAACCTTTGACTTGGAATAGAGCAGCTAATGGTGCTTATTGCTAGAGATAGAGTAAATGTCATTGGTCTTTCTTAAGCTCTGGTTTTTAAAGCTGGTTTCTTGTTTAAACTATGCAAGAGATTGATAGTTTAAGTTAGCAACTTAGATACCAACTTGTAAGAGATTAGGGTTGGTTACTTTTGAGAGTGATTAATAAATTCTGAATAATAACTATTGTGAGCTTAGTGATAAACATGAGAGGAAGGTTTAGTGAAATCAAACCCCAACAACTTATTAATATTGCATTAGAATCAAGTTTTACACTCTAAGTGTTTACACCAAAATACAAAAAAGAATTGTTATTGTTTGTTTACATTATTTACTGTAGCAAATCAAACTCTTATTGCTTTCGAGTAGCTTAGTTAGTATAATAAGTAAATTTGCAAAGTGTTGCGCAAGTCCCTTGGGAGACGATACTAATACTTTCATTGAACTACTTATACAATTTGGTACACTTGTAAAGAGAGATAACACATTCCAACAATTTTGATGCAACGTCTCTAATTAATGCCCGGAATCAAATGAAAAACACACAAATGATATCATTAGACGAGAGAAAAATTGATGAATATATAACAAATATACAAATCAAATGAAAGCGTGACTGTGTAGAGAAAAGTGAAAATGCGCTTACTGAAAATATTGTTAGTGATGGTCAAGAAAAATAGCTTCACGATGTCTGGGAAGGGTAGATTGTGGTGTTGGTTCTCTCCAGCTTTGAATAAAAATTCTGTCATTGGAATGTGCCCTGCAGAAGATGCCATATATATTTTCCTTTTCTGACCTCCTGCACCATATTACATATACAATCAGAAATGAAGTTCATATATTCAATACGATAACAATTTTAGATCAACATTATTTCATTTCAATTTACCGTCGAAATCATATAATTTTTTTGTTATAAAAGTAAATAACTTATCATCGTCATTTGTGGTTAATTATTTTCTCTGATTATAACAAATGTTTTACATCAATACGATGTCACCTTGTTTAATAACTTTTATGTAACTGTCAATATATATATTACATTTACACGCATGTTTTTTTGTTTCTTCAACTTTTTAAATAAGACAGTGAAAATATGTTAATATTAGTTAATTAAATACAATTTTGGACAGTGATCATGACTGACGAGTGATGATATTCTAATAGATTCATTATACTACGTTCGACTAGTTATTGATTCTCGTTTTGTAAGGGTATAATTTATTTATTTTTGTTAAAAGAAATACTGCGCTCGAATAGAATTAACATTACTTGGAATTAAATTATTTAAAAGCATTTCATGACATCAGATAAAATATGTCACCTCCTGTATTCTAGAAAGAACAATACACTATTACTCCCATATATTTTGGATCCGTAAAGCACGCAGGTCAACGAATACACCATTGGCAAAACCTGCACTACATGCATGTTAAACCTTAATTAAATTATGCCATTTCCTTAGTATAAGACTTTAGTACAAGACTTTTTCGGTTTTAAGTTTATTGGGCCTAGTTTTGGACTTCATGGACTTTTGGACTTTTCTTTGCTTCTGAGCTTAGTGAGCCCAATGGATTTGGTGGGCCTAGGGTTCTCTTTACTTGGACTTTACATGAATGACCACCTTTCTCATATATTTGGTAATATAGGAGTTTATATTGTTTGGTCTTGTATTATGGGCCTTAGTATAAGACTTTTTGGGTTTTAAGCTTATTGAGCCTAGTTTTGGGCTTCATGGGCCTTTGGACTTTTGTTTGCTTCTGAGCTCAGCAAGCTCAATGGGTTTGGTGGGCTTAGGGTTCTCTTTACTTAATGTCATTGAACCAAAGAGTCTCCTATTCTCTCGTGTCTGGTATGACAAAACTCATGTCTGACCCTAATTACACAGAGGGCCTTTGTCTAACTTATGTTTAACGCCACATACATTAGCACCCAATGCAAATCCAAAAAGAAAATGAGTATCTCTCCTCATACTAGGTGACATTTAATCAACGCCTAATGTTTGTGGCATTGGCAACAAAACCACGAAAGTGTATGCACCTTAAAAGCAATTAAACTAATGTAAATCAAATTTAAAAATATTTGGTAACATCATTTTTTTAAGACAAAAATGTCGAGATATATAACTAAAACTAACAAATTTTTGCAATGATTTAAATGAGAGAAAATTATATTTATAATAGAAAGTTTTGTTTGGTGTTATTTTCTAATTAGAATTAGAAATTTACGCATATAATTAATGTAAACCTCTAATTCTAATAGAAAAGCATTATCAATTGAAAAACTATATTTAAATTTTAAATGTAATTTAGTATAATGAAAAAAAAATATTATTTTGCTTAAAAAAAGTCTTATGACAAATATATAGTTAGAACGGCCCGTTCCGAATTCAGAACATCCCGTTCTGGTTTAACTAGTCATGTGTTATTTTTGAATCTGGAACGGGCCGTTCTGATTTTGAAACTGGACGTTCTGATTTCGGAACGGCCCGTTCTGATCCATTCTTCATGCGTTTTTTTTTTCATCTGGAACGGCCCGTTCTGATCCATTATTCATGTGTTATTGTTTCATTTGGAACGGCCCGTTCTGAAATCAGAACGACCCATTCTGAACGTGAGTAGCAGTCGTAACACGTGTTTTTTTTTGGTAATTTTAAAAAAATATTTTAGTAGAAAAATCGAAAATTTTTATCCTGTGCGATTGTATTATAAGTTATTAGTTTAAATGAATCTTATGGTCAAAATTAATGGTTTATCATGCACCACTTGTTAAAATGGTGTATTAGAGATGTCACCTTTAAATAAACTGGGACTATTATATAAAAGGATATAATTAATGAGGGTTAAATAGTAAATATTAAAACATTCTTAAAAAATACAACTTCTGACAAAATTAACACATGTCATCCTTTATGTAGTCCTAGTCACAGAGGGTTTTGATACCCTCTAAAATAAACTTGCACAAAAAGAAATGCCTTAAATTATAGAATTATAGGTCTCAACTAAATGCAGGTTTTTTTTAACTAGGTCAAGTAAAGCAAGTAGCTTAAAAATTATGATAAATAATTAGTGTAATTAATTATGTATTTTACGTTACTTCTTAAATTAAAAGAATATGCTGCTATACATACGCGGTCTACATTCAAAGATATAGAGTTTGTTGCCATTCACCATTTATCACATTGCATGCACAAGTTGGTCAATCGAGGAAAGATGTAAATGTGAAAAGAATAAAAGGTGTACATAATATGAAAACGAATCACATGCACAACAAACTACTGTCTTAAAATAAGAAACAAACTACCCATCTTATATAAAAACAGCCAGAGCTCTTGAGCACAACCTTGTATTTTAGTTTAATTCTAACTAATTGAAGTTCTTGTTTTTTTTCTTTTTTTCCTTTGGCAAAGGGTGGCAGGCTTCATAGATGTTATGGATTGGCCATAACAATCTTGGTCGCTTCTCCGGAGGTAGCACGAAAAAGGATAGCACAAAGCGCAGAGAGCTATCCCATCGTTTATGGTCAAGTGCAAAATGCAAAAGCAATACGATACAACCAAGTCCAGAAATGGAAAAAAGGATCCAATTGGAGATGAAGTCAAATATCAATATGGAACCAGAACCAATAGAAGAAAACATGAGTGCAATGGACCCAAAAAGTGTCCCATTCCCAAATATCAACTTTGTTTGCCGCGAGAACACAGACTCTTCTTTTGGTTCCCAACTTGAAGGAAGAATAACTGAAGCATAGCAGAACATAGATGCCGCACATAAGCATGTTCCAGATGTAATTGATAGATAAAATAACGTATACCATGTCTTCCTCCCAAAAATAGGAGTATCTTTACTCTCAATATCCTTAACGGGAAGGGTCAAAACTGCGGTGATCCCTAAGGTGATCACAAGAGTTGCTACCACTACTAAAGTATTTGCTGTAACTTTCACTTCAGATTCTGATTCTTTGTGCAACCCTTTGTGCGACCAATAGAATAATTCTTTAGGAGTCAAACCATCTTTATTTCTCATTCTTTTCATTGCACCTGGAACTATTTTCTCCACTTCCTGTTTCGTTAAAAGTCAAAACTAAAAAACATTAGGAACATGAAGAGCTTAAGAAATAGTGAATGTGAATCGACTGCATATATACCTTAAACCATTTCTCTTCACAACGCATGATAACATGGTTTGTTGATAATGCGAATCTTTCTTCAGGTGCCAACTTTCCAGCTAAGTGAAGAACATTGTTCCCCTCAAAATCAATCAACTGCATCATAACATTCTTGGAAGCCCCCTTGCTTAATATTAGTCGGTATACAGTTTCTTGTCGATATAGAATAGCAATGTGAAGTAAGCTTCTTTGCTCTGTGGAATCCACTTCAAAAAGCAAATCTGGATGGTACATAAAAAGACGTTCTAGAATCATAATGTTTCCTGATTTTGCTGCATCGAACAATGCTTTTGACAATTGTTCAGAGTTGAGAGCCTCTTTCTCTTCTTCCATTCCCTTAAACAACGAATTTATAATATCTTGATGACCAACAGTTTCCTTGCACCAGGCTACCATTGAGTTCAAAAAATTAGTCATGTACACATACAAAGTAGGATTTAATATGAATGTATATATAATATTAACTGTTGACTAATTTATTTTTATTAACAACTACGGTAATTTACTTTACCTTGTAAGTTGTAAATGAGTTGCTCGCTTTCGAGTCAGATTAAAATTAAAATAACATTTTTGAACTAGAAAAACCAACTTTGTAAGGATCGTGAGAACTCACAAAATTGAGCAAGCATTTGCAAAGTTGTCAATCCCTCTTCGTTTTCAATGGTAACCAATTTTGGATAGCGATCCAACAACTTTGATGTCACGGCTGTCGTGCACAAATCATTAGTCAAGAGAAAAATTATTGCTAAATCCGCAAAAGAAATGTGCTTCAGCTACATGAGGTTATTAGCTAGCTTGTCTGGAGAAAATTGAAAGTACAAAAAAACAAATCAATGTATTAGTCACCAATACCATAATGACAAAAACCCTTTCCATGAGTAATTATAATAGGGTCACAAAAATTTTAATATTTTTTTTAAAAAAAAAATTATATATAACCACTAAACTTATTATTTGTTGTACTTATTGTTATGCCAAAAAAAAAAATGTGGATCAACTTACTGAAAATGTTGTTGGTGATGGTCATGAAAAATAGCTTCACGATGTCTGGGAAGGGTAGAATATTGTGTAGGTCATCTGTAGCTTGAAATAAAAATTCTGTCATGGGAATATGCCCTGCAGAAGATGCTAATTGAATTGGCAGCATATCATTGTGCCCTCTCATACATAACAACTTTGGATTCTTGCCAAACAGTATTTCAGCTATTTTCAGGTTTCCAGAAATTGCAGCCAAACAAAAGGCTGTATTCTCATCTGCCATGCAAATTTCGACATCTTGCATGTTCATACAATTCACCAAGTTTTCAACAAAACTTGTTTGATCCATGCTAACTGCAACGTGAAGGGCTGTATTTCCACGAGAAGTCAATGGAATTCGCAACCAATCAGGATTGATTTCGAAATAGGATGAAGCCTCACTCCAATTTCCTGAAGCAGCTGCCATATATATGTGCCTTTTCTGACCTCCTGCACCATATATATGTACAATCACTTTTTTTTTTATCAAGCAAGTATAACTCTGTCTGATCAGTGATCCTAAAATGTTATATCTCCATTACTATTTACTACTAGATTTTAATCTTTTAGCAACATTTTTTTATTTACATTTATTAAAATGTTACTATATATTAAATAAATATTATTTTGTAACATTTTTTTGAAAAATGTCATTATAGATAGAGTAACATTTTTTATTTTAATATTATTCTTTCTAATTGTTTTCAAAATCAAAGTCCCATATTGAGTAAAAAAAATTTACATAAGTTATTTTGCAACATTTTTTTGAAAAATGTTACTATAATTGCTTCTAAAATCAAAGTCCCACATCGAGTAAAAAAAATATATTTCTCTTATATCTAATTGTAACCCATAATTAAAGTCTCACATCGAATAAATTAATGACTTATAAAGAGTATATATACTCATATAGTTATATTTAAGATAAATGAAATTTGATATTCTATATATAATTAGTGGTGACTAACTAAAAATGTTTTCACCTAAAAACTTAAGAAACTCTTAGAAGTTTAAGAGACATAAAAATATAATAATTGATTTTAATATTTAAATTAAAATTAATTATTATTTTATAAGATTAACAAAATATTGGCAACAACGTTAAAATGTTACAAAAAATTATTAAAATGTTACAAAAATATTACTTTGATAACATTTTTAAAAAATGTTACCTAATTATGCAAAAATGTTATTAAAAGTCTTTAGCAACATGGACTATATACAACATTTGATAATATGTTGCTAAAATAAATTAGCAACATTTATACATAATTAAGTAATATTTTTCAAATGTTGCTAAATATTATTTGTGTTGTAGTGATTAGTAATTAATATGTCCAAATGTTGTCACCAAAAATTAAATAACTTTCAGATATAAGAATTGAACAGAAACCATTTAAAAGAACTTACTGTCTAGCTCCAAAGAACAGCTTCCTGGTCCTAGTGGTTGTAGATTTTCTGCTCCACCCACAATAATACCCAGGTTACTACTGTCTGTAGATAAAAACAGAAAGAAGTAAAAAAAAACGGAAAATAAATAAAAATGAATTTTTATTCATGCAACAATTAAAATTTAATTGTAATGTAAGTTCTTGCGATTTTTCCCAATATAATTTTTCAATTAGCCTTTCGTTTGTTTTGTTTACCGAGTACTTTCTCTTTTTTTTATTATCAGAATTTAAATGATAACACTAAAATTTGAACCTTAAGTGTGTGTTTGATTGAGAGGAAAGAAATAGAATAAAAATAAATAAAAAGTGAGTAGAAGTAGATAAAATAATAAAGAAAAATTTAATTGTTTGACTAAAAAAACAAGTGAGAAATAAGGTATATATAATATAGAAGAAAGATAAATAAATAAGCAAAAATAAATAAGATGGTGAAACTCACCACCTTTTAATTTCTTTCCACTTTATTTTTCTTCAACCAAACAACCTCACTTATTTTCATTATGTTATTTTTACTCTTTCCACCCAATTTCTTTTTCTTATCAATGATGATATAAATTTTAGAGTTAATCATCTATACACTGCTCGTGTAAAGTTTTTTTATACTGATAATCAATTATATCTTTTAATTGTGTCATGACACTGTAAAAGTGACATGGCACAGTTAAAAAATATAATTGGTTACCAGTGTGAAAAAATTTTACACTGACAGTGTAGTATATAGGTGATTAACTCTAAATTTTATATATACAACCTCAATCCTAGTGATATGTCCCATTTATTTTAAAAATGTCTTATTTTTTAGTTATTTTTTATAATAAAAAGTAACGATATTTAAGGATAATTATGTAATAATAATATTAACAATAATAAGTATAATAAAAAGCAAGATAATATTTTCAGATTTATTTTTATTTAATTTTATGCTAAAATTACTTTAGAGGTGTATTATATGGCAACAGCGAGTTGCTACACGCATTGTCTCTGGTGTTGGCAGCACCGGCGATGACGATGCCAACGGCTGCAGTCGTCTCGAATCTCGATAATGATACTAATAGTAATAATAGTGTAGATTCATATTAGTGGTCATTGTTACATAAAAAAGAAGAAAAAAAATTATGTTCAATTCTTAAAATCGTAAATTTTAAAATAAAAATATTTATAAATGTTTCTCGTTTTGAACTTATATATAATAAAAAAAGAGTATTTAAAATTTGTAGACTTAAATATAAAAAAAAATTCTAACTAATTTGACAAAATATTTTTTAAATTAAATATGATTACTATTTTTAATAAATATTATTAAAGATATTTTAAAAATTAAAATTTAACTTTATATGAGATAAATAAACCTAACTAACTTCCTTAATATTTGAATTTAAGTATTATTACTTATATATGAATTAAAAAAAGTAATTGAAAATTTAATATTTTTATTTTATTAAATAGAAAATTAAAAATAATATTATATTTATAAAAAAAATTATTGTGTTAAATAGACAAGTAAAAGTAACATAAAATTTTTCATTTAACTCATATATTAGATTCTCACTATCTCATTTGCTTTATAAAACCAATTTTGCGAGAATTATAGATAAGAAAAAATTTCATGAAACAATTTTTCTAAAAATTTTATTTTTTAATTAATAAACCAAATGTAAAAAAAAAAGTAACTTTCTAATATTAAATTCATAAGAATATAAAAACAATCCTTATATTAAAGTTTCTAAAAGTAATGTAAAATATAGTAAAATTATATTTAAAAAAAAACTGAAAATCAAATTCATATATAAACCAAGTAATGGTCATCTTCCAAGAATTTTGTGTATTTGAGTGTGTTATAAATGATAAGTTTTGAGATAGCAACGATGTTGGTATCTCTATCCTTAGTGATGCATCACATTCTTAACTTTATATAAAAATAAAAGAATCATAAAGCAAAGTATTGTAATGTGTGAGATTTGTTGCGACTGCATATGATGAATCGAGGAGCCCATGTGCTCTCAACAGGCTACACTACAGCAATGCATCCCTAGATCTACGCCAAGGATGTGTTTTCTACCATTCTGGGATGAAAATTGATTCCATGTGCCTTTGAAAACTTCAAAGTTAAGTTACCAATGCATCAACATATTCAATTGATATATATCACTAAAATAATATATTTTAATTAATACATATATATATATATATATAATATCAAATTATACAATTAAGATGTATTTAGATGAAAAATTTTAATAGAATAATTTAATTTTTAAACATTTTTAAAAATATTTTGGTGTAAAATATTTTATTTAGATTAAAAATTTATAAAGAATTTAAAATTTAAGTATTTGTAAAATTGCTTGATGTGTAATTTCAAATTATCCCAAAAAAAAGTAAGAATTTGAAATTTTTCCTTCTTTCATTTTTTCTTATCTTTTTCTCTTTTCTTTCAAAGTCAACACAAAAAATATCAATAATTTTAAACTATTAAATATATAAATTATTTTTAAAATTATTAAATATTATCTAATAATTTTTAAAATTATTAGTTTTATAAAATTAATATCTATAAAAATTGACTAATATTTAGTTTTATAAAATCTAATCTTAAGAGCTTAATTTTTTTATATATGATGAAAATTAAATTGTTCTATCCAAATTAAAAAAATTAAATTTCAAAAATTTGAATTGACTAATAAAATGAAATATTCAAAAAATAATGAAAATTGAAATACAAGTAATTAAAATTTTAAAATTTTAATTCTGTTATATTTTTAAAAAAATTTATTCAAACGCATTATTTTGATCGAGTTGATCATCAGTAAAAAAAATTTAAATAATTGTATAAAAAATATTTTGAAATTAAATTAAAAATCATCCGATTTCCATTTAACTTGAATGCGTTTTATTTGAAAAATTCAAAACAAAAAATCCACGATCACCGGATTTACAACATGTCAATAAAATATAGAGAATTTCTACGGTACCCTCTGTAAAAGAAGGGTACCGGTACTGTCGATGACGTGTCAATGATGTGTGATCCAAATCACTTATAATTTTATAATTATTTACAATTCAATATCCACGTCAATTATAATGAAATTCACGTTTTTTAATATTTTTTCAGAGTGTTTACTTCGTGTTTCTTCTTCTTTTTTTTTCGAAATGTTTGCTTCGTGTTTCTTTCTCTCAGCGGTAATGGTCCCCAATAGGGTTATCACAGGGCTTGGGAGGGGAACCAGTGAGGAGCAAGATGCGGGGTTTACCTCTCACGAAATTAGGGTATTCGGGGTTTTGGAGGAGCCAAGCCTTGCGTTCTTCGTTCCAATTGCGGATCTTGGGGCCCAGGCTGTAGGTCACGTTAGGGTTCAAGGGGGCTTGCTCGTCGGGGTCGTTGGGGTCGGCGTCGGAGCGGATCTCGGCCAGGATGCGGTTGGTCTCCTCCACGAGATTCTGGTTGACGGCGTCGGCGTCGGAGGAGCCGAGGTTGACGCCGATGGTGCCGCGGAGGACGAGGATGTCGTCAGAGACAAAGGTAACCTTGGAGGAGTCATGGTCGACGGTGGAGAGGAGGGAATAGTGGAGGGCGGAGGAGGAGGGGAGGGAGGAGTGGTAAATGGCTGTGGCGAGGGAGTTCAAGAAGTAGGGAGAGAGGTTGAGGCGGAGGGGAGGGGAGGGGAGTGGGAGACGGAGGGGCAAGGGAGAGGTGGGAGACGGAGGGGAGAGGGAGAGGTGGGAGACGGAGGGAGGGGAGAGGAGATCGTATAATTATAAAAATATTAATAAAAACTTAAAAATAAATAATGTAAAAATTAAATATAAAATAATTTTTATTTAAAAGGTTGACATGGCATTTGACATGGTATTTAGATGATGTGTACATATACACATTAGCTACAGTACCAAAACCCCTCATTTATCAGGAGTACAGTAGCAACTTCCTAAAATATATTTAATGGAAAGCCGTTTTAAACATTTTTTTTTACACCACGCCGTTTTAACTTTTAAAAACTGGAAAAAAATATTTTTAAAGTATTTTATCATTTTTCAATTCAAGATGTGAACTTATTAATGTTAGCGGACATTTGTTGTGTGTTATTAGTTTGTTTTTTTTACAAAGTGTATTGTTGAAACTTAAATATGAATGTATTATGATATATTTGATTTGAATTTCTATGCATAAAAATCGATAACATGGAATTTTAATTTGTTTTTAATATTATAAATTTAGAGAAAGTTATTTTTTCTATAAACAATTTAAATAATATTTAAAAATTGATAATTAAATATTAATCTATACTTAAAGAATATGACTTTAAACATCATTTTATTATTGTATAAATTAAATTTAAAAGTATTAGATTGATCCATGTTTCAAAACAAGCTTTACAACCATGGGAACTAGAGGTTTAATTAGTTAAAAATTATCATTTACATTGATAAGTTGTCAAATGACAACTAATTTACCACGTAAGATAAATTTATTAAGTTTTATAATAGTTATTTTATAATCCATACTAATTATATTATGAATTTTCATATTGACCGAACATATACAACTCAGGTATTAAACCTTAATTAATCTGATTTCAAAATTTTTATTGATTCGACTTGACATTTGCAAGAAGTAGCTGGAAGAAGAACGTGTGGAAGTTTAAAGGTGCAACTGTAATTGTGAACCATGCAGTGCAAAACTGAGAGTCAAGTTTGAGTTTATATCCTCTTCATTCTTCATTTCTTGACGTCCATTACTATAGTTTTAAGTGTAGAGGGCATTGACATTTTTCATAATAAATATTTAATATACTTTATACGCTTAAAATCATAGAAGTTAGCGGCACAAGGACTGTCACAAAAATGAAATACCATTCACAGATTTTCTTTTTCTTCCAAAAAAAAAATGTAAAGACGTTGTGTTTGAGAAAATATAACAGCAGAACTGTAGAAGTCTCTCTTCGTTTGATAGAAATAAAGGAAAAAACTTACAAACTACTTTAATCTGGGAGATAAGTTTGATAATGATAAGGAAAAACATAAAACATGTTCATCCGTGCACGCATCTGGAATATACAATAATAAAGTTACCGAAATGATTAATGTTAAACTTACTCTGGGGCTTGGGAATGTTATTTGCAGCTGAGGATGTCATTGCATCTGAGTCTTGTGCCTTCTTCCTTCTTCTCTTTCTGATGGGAAGAAATTCCTTAATTGCAGCTGCTTGTCATGCTTTATCAACTTAATCTCCTATAAATTTGGACTAAAGCACGCAGCTCAAGATATGGGACAGTGCATAAAATTTATTTAATTCCCTCCTTTTTTAAAGTGAGAAACACCACTTTCTTTAAGATAATAAAAAGAAAAGATAGTGCGACTCACTAAACACTTCGGTCCAAAGTATTTGCAACACATCAATTATTCTATGACAAATAAATATTTAAACATATGTTAAATGCTATTTTATAATTTAGTATAATAAATATTTCTATTAAATAATTTTTTTATTTGTTTAACATTGAAAATCAACGAATGATTACTTGCCATTTGGAAAGAGTATTCAGAATCAACTCAATCTGTTACAACTGCGAAAGTTATAAAAAAAATCAATTAAATTGAAAATTAAAAAATTAAACATTTTTTTTATAAAAATTATAACATTATATACTTTAGGTGTTTTAATTAATTACATATTATATATGATTAATTATTGTTTTATTATTACTATTATTGTTATAAATCTCCAAGAATTAAAGAGAATCTTTAAGAGTTAAGTTGTCTTTGAAGTAATTTGAATAAGAGTTATAAGTTAATTTAGCTTATGGAATATAAAGTTTTCTTAAAACGTGAATTTTATAAGTTTATGTTCTAAGAAAAGTAGGAAGAAGTTAGAGAAAAGTCTCTTAAAATTGAAGAATAACTTCTTCCCCTTCTAACCTTCTAATTTTGTAAGACCTCAAACCCTTCCCCCATAACCAAGTAGATTTAAGTAGTGGTAGTTCAAAGTTTCCGAAGCTAAGAATTAATCCCAAGCTTCAAAAGCTTTCAAACATGAATCTCAATTATGATGTCTAAGTTGTATTGATATGTAATCTTATGTTGTGTATATGTTGATTCTTTCACAAGTTTGTCCTGTATTATATTTTTTTGTGGTTGAAATTGCAATGATCATATCAAATACGAGAGTACAGCATGATTAGCAAGATGACTTGATTAGCTGGTGGAGGGTCACTCTAGTGGTGGCCTAGTTTTGGTGATGTTATTCTAATATAACATGTTAGTTAGATGTTTGATTGACGACTATGATTATTTTGTATATAGTTATATAGTTTGAGTAGATCTAAATATGTGTCTAGGATATATATTATCTGTAACCTCATAAGAGGGTTTATCTTTTCATTCATATATACAAGAACTGTTTTCCTCTTCTATCCTTAGATATATATAAAATTGTATTAACTATTTAGAATTATTAACTCTAGGATTATTAAACATTAATAATTTAATTTTATTATATTGTAACTGCGTTGTATTAAATAAAATGACATGTTGAATATTTATAAATTTTGGTTTGATTCTCAAATTTTGATTCTTAAAAAAGCCAAATCAAACCATATATTGTACTTGTATTGATTTTACTTAACTAATGTTTATCATTATATTATATATACCGTATTACTTTAAAGTTTTAATAGTAATATTATGTGATCCATAATGTATTTTTATATAATTGGTTTGTAATATGTAATTTTTCTTGCATGTTCAATTAGCAACAATTAAACTGATTTATAATGTTCTTTACTTTATAGTTGAGTTCCACAATTTAATTATTTTTATGATACTCAGAACAAGTATTAAGCAAAAAGTAATATGCGTGTTAATTTTATATTTAATTCAAATAAGTAACTTTACCATCAAAAGTCAAACAAAACCATATTGTTGTTACCCTCCTTAAACAAAATTGTTTCCGGTGCTTTGATATATATACAAGAAAAACACCAAACCATGCTGCAAATATTCCTAAGTGCGACCATCACTATCTTGGTACCTATTTGTGTAACGCCTAATTCTAATACCCAAATTATACAATAATTTGTAATTTTTTATATCCTGAGTTTTATAATTTATTGGACTTTAATATATTTTTAGTCCCTCAAATTTAAGATAAATTTATTTTTAATCCTTCAAATTTAAAATTAGTATATTTAGTTTATATAATTTTAAAAATCTTGCTTTAGTCTTTATACTCAAATTTTATTAAGGAATATGTTAAATACTAATGCATAAAATCTATCTATTAATGTTTCTGTTAAAAAAACATCATATTAAATCTAACTAAAGCTATATAATTATCTCAATCTGTCACTTTGAAATATATTATTGATGGCCCGAGGAACTACAACAAGATTTTTAACAATTACAGAGACTAAAAAAATAATTTTTAAATTTGAAGAACTAAAAACAAATTTATCTTAAATTTAAAAGACTAAAAATATATTTAAACTCTTATTATATATAATTTTAAAATTTTTATTCTTGATATAAACTTATTATTTTTAATAGAAATTGTGATATCCTACTAAAATTTAAACTTAAATATTATACTATATTAACTTTTATATATACTTCAATATTAAGGTTTAAGAACCTATAAATAATATCATATTTGAATTTTTAATATTATTAAATTATGACATTATATTAATGTATTTAATATTAATTTTATTAATAATTAATAATAATTATTATTTTATTAATATTAATTTAACTACAACTCAACTATGATTAAACTATTGATCTTTAAATTGATACCTAAACCAATTCAATAACAACTCCAATTTTAAAAATATTTATTAATATTGTAAGTTAGTTATGTAGTATTCATGTGGCTATTTTAAAATTAATATTTTTTATAAATTTTATCTATTTAAATATAAAGTAATGCTTTATATTTATATTTTTATTTCTTACGTCGATGACTTGTTCTGAAGTGTTTTTTTTTTAATTTTTTTTTTTACATAAAGTTCTCAAGGAGTTACTTCCTATGAATATACATCATATAAGTAAAATGAATAATAAGGCAATCACATGGGACATATACATTGCATGCGTTATATATATATATATATATATTAGCAATCTTCTTTCAATAAGTTTGTTTTACTGTAGCATAAAAATATTAACAAATTTGATAGATTGTACTATATTTATTCATGAAATGGTTATGATCGAAGTGTCGTGGGTAGTTTTTCTATTCATACTTTAATGATTTGTCTCCTAATTAATTCCGATAGACTAGTGTAGCAAAGTTTGTCATATATGAAGATATGCATATGTTCCTGTCCTGTGTTATCCTTAAAGAAAAATGAGAGAAAGAACTCTGTTTACTTTATAAGTTTAATTTTGCTATATTATTAGCTTAAACATTTTATATTTTTATTATTGTTAATTAACTAAAAATCATTTTGTATAACTTTTAAAATAATCACTAAAGGTTAACAATCTTAATATATGAAAAATCATAATTAGATAATAATTTTAAAAATTACAATGTCTTTTTATACTAATTAAATTTTTATTTTATTGAAACATAGAAGAAAAGAAAGAATTGGTACAGAAGACTTATTTATTACAACAATATTGCATCGGCTATGGTCTATATTTTTTTTTTAATTCTTTCATTGTAATTGTTCGCGCAAAAATAGAAAATAGAAAATTAAAATTGTAAAAAACATGTACAATCAATTAATTTAATTTTTTAATCTTTTTTTACTGAATAAAACTTCAAATTCATCTCATAAGATTCACTTATATAAAAATTATTGAATACAATTAAAATTCAAATAAATATATTATAAATATGATAAAAAAAGATTTAATCTCATTATTTTTTAGTTGTTCATGAAATATATTCTCACGCAATTTTTAAAATATTTATAATCTTTTTAAATTCAAATATTAATTACAATTTTCAATTTTCACATAAGTAAATATAATATTATAAATATCACATTTTGAATTAGTCAAATTCAAAATTATGTTACAAATTTAAAAATATCATTAAAAGGACCAAATTAATTTAAATATAAAATATAAAAGATTAAAATAAATATTGTAATAAATAAATAATCAAAATGAATCTAAAAAATAAGATAAATGACAGAAAATAATTTAGTCTAAATACTATTAATAATTTGAAAAATATTTTCAATATAAGAATAATTTTCCTTTTCTTTTAAATTTATTTAATTAAAAGTTAGTTAATAAATCTCATTTAAAATATTTTATTACTTTTTTGTACTATTGTCTAATATTAAATTCTGTTATTTATTAGAAAATGTTGAATACTTTAAATATAAGACTTTTCCTTTTCTTTTATATTTATTTCATGAAATTTTTTATTAAATAAATTTGAGATATTACATTTTATACTATTGTCTAATATTAAATTATAACAACACTCGGAAAATATTAAATATTTTCAATATAAGAAGACTTTTCCTTTTCTTTAAATTTATTTCATAAAAAATTTATTATTAATGTAAATTTGAGATATTTCGTTACATTTTTTCACTATTGTCTAATATTAAATTCTATTAATGATTTCAAAATATTAAATGCTTTAAATATAAAACTTTGCCTTTTCCATTTAATTCCATTTATTATTTTTAACTTTTTTATTTTCCAATTTTAATTTTTTTAGTAAATTAGAAAAATAAAATATAATAAATATTATTTTACTTTTTAAACTAATAATTCAAGGATAATCACAATATCGTACTTATTCATGAACTTCTAATCCATGTACGAGGTCAAAGCAGCAAAATTCCTATGCAGCCTGTGCTCGAGGAGTTGGATACTCTAG